TGTTATAAAAGATGATCTATTCCCAGAGCAACAGAAGTTTATTAAAATCCCTAATTATCTCTCACGTTTTTAGAAACAATCTTCAACAAAATAGTTCCAGCATTTGGTACGTGTTCATTAATTGTGTTCTTTTGCTTCATCATTAAACACAGTTTAAATCTAATGAGCATCTAATTGAGGTTAAAGACCCATCCTAATGATTTCCATCTTTATCTCAATCACTATTAAGATTACAGATATACCACTGTGTGTGTGTATAAATATGAGCATGTGTTCACACAAATACATAAAGCTTTTCTCTTATTTCAACTTATTTTTATAAAGTGGGATAATGCAATAAAATATTTACTCTATTACACAAATATATATGGCTGTGTTGATAGGGACAGCATGCCTCCAAAACCCAACTGTTAGCTGAAAGGCAGCTGTATTAGCTTCCTGTGGCTGCTATAACACGCTACCACAAATTTGGTACCTTAAAACAACAGAAATTTATTCTCTCACAGTTCTTGAGGCAGAAGTCCAAAATCAGTCTCGCTCAGCTGAAATCTAGATGTCATCAGGGCTGTGCTCCCTCCAAAGGCTCTAGGGGAGAATCTGTTCCTTGCCTCTTCCAACTTCTGGTGGCCACAGTCATTCCTTCAGTTGGCCCCATCGCTCCAATCCATGTTCCCATCTTCTGCTCTACTTTCTCTTATAAGAACACTGGCATTTAGGTAAACACAGGATATCTAATCCTGGATGATCTCCTTATCTTAAGATCCTTAGCTTAACATACCTACAAATACCCTTTTCCCAAATAAGGTAACATTTATAGGTTCCAAGGATTAAGACGTGGACATATCTTTGGACCACCATTTAGCCCAGACAGCAGCCTACTGTAAAACTATTCAAAGTATTCATCAGTTAATATATCAAAGCTCAGGTAAAGGAAATGTAGCCCAGGGAATTTCAATTTGTACTGTATGAAAGTTCAGGGTGCACGGAAGGCCAATGTCCAGAAAAATCAAAGACTGCAAGTGGCATACTACAGATGTCAGCAAGAGGCTAGTTCAGGGTAATCAACTCTGGCTGAACATTAAAATTATCTTAGAACATTTTACAACTACTGATAATAGGGCTCTACCTGAGACCACTAAAATTAGAATCTGGCTACACATCCCATGTTTGGGTTTGTCTGTTTGGTTATTTTTAAGAGACAGGGTGTCACTATATCACCCAGGCTGTTCTCAAACTTCTGGCCTCAATCTATCCTCCTATCTCAGCCTCCTGAGTCGCTGGGACTACAGGCACAATCCACTGTGCCTGGCTTGCTTGGGTTTTCTTGTTTAACTCAGGTGATCCAAATGTGCAACCAGGTTTTAAAAACCACCAGCTCAAGCAGAAAAGACAAAACGGGTTGGAGACCTTAATTATACTGGAAAGGGTTTTTGTTTGTTTTGTTATTTTAACCAACTTAAGGCAACCACTTTTGCTTTTTAGGGAGAAAGGCTCCCTTTAAAAATTATGTTCTTAATTTAATTTGAAAATATATTGACTTTTGCTCTTTAGGGAGAAAGGCTCCCTTTAAAAATTATGTTCTTAATTTAATTTGAAAATATATTGAGATCGGAAGTTCTAAAAACTGACCTGTATAACTCTCTTAGCCAAATTGGAATATGTCAGCAGGACATACCAAGATTCAGTACAAAATGAATGTCTAGTTTATAACAAGGAACCTCAAATTAGTTCACTTAATTGACCTTGCTCTAAAAGTATCAAGCAATGCTTGCTTAGAACAAGTAGTTCATAAAAATATTCATTTTATCTTGAGATCATTTTAGAATTATGTTTGCTGTTTCACAATTTTATTTTTATACCAAGGACCACTACTAAGGCATGGGAAATAACAGTCAAGATTGGCAAAGATGACTAATCCAGTTCTTTATCATCCAGGCTAATCATTCAAACTGAGAGTTTTACTTTCATGTCTCTGATTCCTTCTCCTTTCTGGGGCTGCACTTTTATCCACTACCTCCACTACAGAGAAAGAGAAGGGAAATTCAAAATCAGTCAATTCTCTTTTTAAATCTGTAGTTTTTAAATTGATTCTTTTTTTTTTTTTTTTTTTTTTTTTTTGAGACAGAGTCTCACTTTGTTGCCCAGACTAGAGTGAGTGCCATGGTGTCAGCATAGCTCACAGCAACCTCAAACTCCTGGGCTCAGGCAATCCTCCTGCCTCAGACTCCCAAGTAGCTGGGACTACAGGCATGCACCACCATGCCCGGCTAATTTTTTATATATATATTAGTTGGCCAATTAATTTCTTTCTATTTATAGTAGAAACGGGGTCTCGCTCTTGCTCAGGCTGGTTTCGGAACTCTGATCTCGAGCAATCTGCCCTCCTCGGCCTCCCAGAGTGCTAGGATTACAGGTGTGAGCCACCGTGCCCGGCCTAAATTGATTCTTATTTCAAGGGAAAGCACATACATGTCAAGAGTTGGGCATAAATGTTAATGCTTGTTAATTTTGCTTAAAAATATCATGTTATTACTTTGTTGATGAGTATGATGAATAACTGCAAAGATAGAAAAGACAAAAACCTCAATAAAGTGCCTTCACAAATAAAAGAGTATCACTGTTACCCTCACTCCTCACTACATGATAAAAAATTACCAAGACTATCATGCACACACATTTCAATATGAAAACAGTTAAGAATTATTAATGCTAAAGCTTTGATTGGACATGTGCATTTTATTTGTATACAATGAGAGGCAAAATGCATGGCCAGCAGAAAAAGCACTTCAAAGCTCCTTAGAGACTATGTTGGCCAAGTTACCTAACAAATTTTTTTAGACCTTAAATCTTCCAAGACATAGAGGTTAAGACATCAGTTCCTAGATGACATAAAGAGGAATTTATCCAAAAACTTTCTTTCGAGATCTGAAAAATGTTTTCAGAAATCCACATCCATGCTATCTGTCTGGCAAACACCTTCACAAAAACAATTACTGAATATAAACAAGTATTTAGTAAGGCACAATCCAAATGTCCTTTGCAAATTGCTTGTACATTTTGAAGAAATTATGGATTACATCATTTGTTTACATCTTCTTTTCAACCAAATTTATTTTAATGCATCCACTTATAATCTCAAGATATTTCTTAATTTTTTCCCAAAAAGACAAATGCAAAAATAATCTATTAATAGTTCTGCTTTTAGCTTTTTTGTTTTAAGACACACTATTCCTTCTTTTTTCTCTCTCTATCCATTGTACAGTTGCTTTTTCAAATATATTTTCCTTTCAATTTTGTATTCATGTGTTTTTATCTTTTTTAAGGCATTGTTTATCTTTATTTTAATTCTTCATCAAGTACTCAATTGGGACTTTATCCTCCTTGGCAACCACTCTAATTCTGTAGCCTCCTCAATGAGAAGCAAGTTTCACTTCTCATTTATCTTCCCTTGAACTTTTTCCTTTTTTCTCACTTTCACTATCAACATTAATTTCAATCAATTTCTAAGACAGGAATTATGCCACTCGATGTATAATCACATTTTACATCAGACTAAGAAATTGTTGACTCCCTGTCATTTTCAAAATATCAAATACACAAGACAGTAATTAAAAACAAATTTTAAAAATCTTTGAAGGGAAAGATGAAGACTCCTTTCATTATTCCAATAAAACTTCTCAATATTATCTGTGTAAACTATTTATTCAATAGGAAAGCTAAAAGACAATTTTGGTTTATACTAAATAACTAAACAAATATTTATAAAACATTCACTATTTGTTAGTTTAGTGATAGGCAGCATTATTCAAAAGCCCACAAAAATGACCAAATTAATCTCAAAGTTGTTTTCACAGCTGTGATCCATTATAGATCTAGTACTGGGCCCTAAATGTCATGACTTCATGCAAAACAATAAATGTTACCAGCCATCATTTAATCTGTAAAATTAAGGTATTCAACTATGTGATAAAGTCCGCAATAATCTTGAAAATATTGCTCAGCCAGAGTGACCCTTGCAAAGATTCACCAGCAACGCTTCAAAGGGTTATTTTTTGTTTGTTTGTTTGAAATACAGTATGGAAAACCTATATATGTGTGTGTGTGTGTGTATATATACACATTGGTATATAATGGGCCTACTTTTTCAACTTGTGTCATCAATTTTGTCCTATATCATTAGAACACTTAGAAAAATGTCATCTTAATGGCTGCTAAAAAATCTACTACCAGAATATAAATTAGTACAGCCATTATAAAAAACAGTATAGAGGGTCCTCAAAAAATTTTAAAAAGGCTGGGTGCAGTGGCTTACACCTATAGTCCCAGCACTTTGCACGGCCAAGGCAGGAGAATTGCTTGAGGCCAGAAGGAGTTTGAGACTAGCCTGGGTAACATAATGAGACCCCATATCTTGACAAAGAAGGAAAAAAATTAGCCAGGCATGGAGGCACAAACCTGTAGTCCTAGCTACTCAGGAGGCTGGGGTGGGAGGATTAAGCCCAGGAATTCAAGGCTGCAGTGAGTTATGATCATACCACTGCACTCCAGCCTGGGCTACACAACATGATCCTATCTCTTAAAAAGAATACAAATAAAAATGAAACTACCATATGATCCAGCAATCCCACTACTGGGTATATCCAAAGGAAATACCTTCAGTATCTTAAAGAGGTATACCTACACCCCGAGTTCATTGCAGCATTATTCACAGTAGCCAAGATAAGGCAACAACCTAAGTGTGCATCCACAGATGAATGGACAAATTGCAGTGCATACATTCAATGGAATATTATTCAGCCATAAAGAAAATAGGAAATGCTACCATTTGTAACAATATGGATGAACCTGACGACATTATGCTAAATGAAATAAGCCAGACACAGAAAGACAAATACTGCATGATCTCACCTAGATGTGGAATCTAAAAAAGTTGAACTCGGAGAGCGGAGCAGTAATTGTCAGGAGCTGAGGGGTAGGGGAAATGGAGAGTTGCTTGTCAAAAGGTACAAAGTTTCGCCTGCGGAAAACATGGCGTCGCTGAGCGGTGTCCGCTGGCTGACCCGGGTGCTGGTCTCCGCCAGCAACCCCGGGGCATGGAGAGGTCTGGGTACATCGGCCGCGGCGCAAGCTGCCTCTCAGAGTCAGGCTGAGGACGTGAGGGTGGAGGGTGCCTTTCCCGTGACCATGTTGCCAGGAGATGGTGTGGGGCCTGAGCTGATGCACGCTGTCAAGGAGGTGTTCAAGGCTGCTGGTGTCCCAGTGGAGTTCCAGGAGCACCACCTGAGCGAGGTGCAGAATACGGCATCTGAGGAGAAGCTGGAGCAGGTGCTGAGGTCCATGAAGGAGAACAAAGTGGCCCTCATTGGAAAGATCCACACCCCGATGGAGTATAAGGGGGAACTGGCCGGGCGCTGTGGCTCACGCCTGTAATCCTAGCTCTTGGGAGGCCGAGGCGGGCGGATTGCTCAAGGTCAGGAGTTCAAAACCAGCCTGAGCAAGAGCGAGACCCCGTCTCTACTATAAATAGAAAGAAATTAATTGGCCAACTGATATATATATAAAAAATTAGCTGGGCATGGTGGCGCATGCCTGTAGTCCCAGCTACCCGGGAGGCTGAGGCAGAAGGATCACTCGAGCCCAGGAGTTTGAGGTTGCTGTGAGCTAGGCTGACGCCATGGCACTCACTCTAGCCTGGGCAACAAAGCGAGACTCTGTCTCCAAAAAAAAAAAAAAAAAAAGGGGAACTAACCTCCTACGACATGAGGCTGAGGCATAAGTTGGATTTATGTGCCAACGTAGTCCATGTGAAGTCACTTCCTGGATACATGACTCGGCACAACAATCTAGACCTGGTGATCATTCGAGAGCAGACGGAAGGGGAGTACAGCTCTCTGGAACATGAGAGTGCAAAGGGTGTGATTGAGTGCTTGAAGATTGTCACATGAGCCAAGTCTCAGCGGATTGCAAAGTTTGCCTTTGACTATGCCACCAAGAATGGGCAGGAGAAGGTCGTTGCTGTCCATAAGGCCAACATCATGAAGCTTGGGGATGGGTTGTTCCTGCAGTGCTGTGAGGAAATTGCTGAACTGTATCCCAAAATCAAATTTGAGACGATGATCATAGACAACTGCTGCATGCAGCTGGTGCAGAATCCTTACCAGTTTGATGTGCTGGTGATGCCCAATCTCTATGGGAACATTATTGACAATCTGGCTGCTGGTCTGGTTGGGGGAGCCGGTGTGGTCCCGGGTGAGAGCTACAGTGCGGAGTACTCAGTCTTTGAGATGGGTGCCCGGCACCCATTTGCCCAGGCAGTGGGCAGGAATATAGCTAACCCCACGGCCATGCTGCTGTCAGCTGCCAACATGCTGCGACATCTCAACCTTGACTATCACTCCAACATGATTGCAGAGTCGGTGAAGAAGGTGATCAAAGTCGGCAAGGTGCGGACTCGAGACATGGGCAGCTACAGCACCACAACCAACTTCATCCAGTCTGTCATCGGCCACCTGCACCCCTATGGCAGCTAAAGCCCTTTATTCCTTCCAACCTCACAAGGACCATATACTACCTATACATTCCTTCAGTACAGTGGACCAGGGAAGAGATCTCGAACCTCTAGACAGTGGACCATAGCCATCTTTCTGAGCAGAGCCTAGGTTGTCCTAGGGCTGGCTTCCTTAGGGAACTGCATCTGTTGGGTGGTGGTGGTGGGAGTGTTGGGGGTGGGGGTAGGGCCCAGGCTGCTGGGATGATGACAGTTCTCTCCCACAGGTTCGAACCTCTGACATGGGTGGCTATGCCACTTGCCACGACTTCACTGAGGCTGTCATTGCTGCCCTGCCCCTCCCATAGGTCCTGCCCATACCTATATAAGATGTTCAATAAAAAATGTGATACAAAAAAAAAAAAAAAAGGTACAAAGTTTCACTTACAAGATAAACAAGTTCTGGGCATCTAATGTGCAGCATGGACTGTGATGGATGTGTTAAATTAATTTGATTATGGTAATCATTGCACAATGTACATGTATATCAAATTACCATGTTGTAGACCCATCTTAATTTGTCAATTAAATATTTTAAAATAAAGTCATCCTAAAAAACAAAAAACAAAAAAAAACACCTACCACCACAAAATTCAACAGTTACTGCACAAAAGGCAGACTTTCAAAGGAGAAATATTAAATATTTAACAAATCTATTTGTGAAAATGTTATAAGCCATGTCTTTGGAAAGTTGCTACTATGGGAGAATTGACCCAACTTTTAAAAACCAAGCAAGGTAAACACTGATGGCAATGAAAATGATGGAGAAAATCTTCATTATAAATCCATCTTTAGAGTTTTCTACCTCTGAAAAGTTGGGGAAAGGTCCAGTTTAAAAAGTGATCCTATGTTTCTACTTTAGCCCTATATATAAGCTACCATACAGAGAATTTCAAATAAAGTTTAGATATAGTTATGAATTGACGGGAATTATATGAAAAGTTCTGAGCCTTGTAGCATTTCCCTTCATTTTCACTCTCTATGCCTTCCCTAGATGAATAGAAAATGAGACTGTGAATTAAAAATGTACTGTTTACTAAAGATTCTTCGAATAAGCATACTAAACATGCAAGCATTTAAGAAATTAGAATGCAAAAAGTTTAGGAACCAAGACACTAATCATGGTCTAACACAAACAGGAATGAGCAGTTTGAACCACAAATACTACGGAGAACTACCTTCTCGACCACATAAACACAAGCAAAGAAGTGCAGCAACAGTATAGGGGTTTAATCAGGTCTACCCCAGAGAGCTCTGATGCCAAAGAGGCCAGGGCCTGCAAGGCTTTTTTTAGAAACAATACACTTTTAATAGAAACTAAGAAGAAGGAAGGAAATGCACATCCAAAAAAAAAATCAATCATAAAATATTTGAGTAATGAGAGACAAAACAGTTACTGAAAGAAATAAACATACAGTCAACAAGAAAAGACTCTGCAAAGAGCACATTTAGGATTATAGTGCATACTGACCAGCACTCAAGTAGCAAGGTCTCAGTGGAGCAGACTTGCTCACCACAATTAAGTACAGTTTCGAAGACTTGATTAACTGATCATCTCAAATTCCTACATGCACCACATCCTCAATAACATCACTACAAAAACTGTTTGATACTGGCAAATGTTAAAAACAGGAGAAATAGGAAGATGTCCATCCATCCTTTAGCTAGAAATTTCCAAACAAGGCATAAATTAGGCCCAACGAGGTTGTCTTTTAAACCATCAAGAGGCAGACATGGCTATGTGATTTTATTACTAAACAAAACATTATAAGGACCTCCTGCACTTATTAAATATAAAATAGCTTTTAAGAGTCCATCACAGGTATATTTCCGGCTGTAATTTTTAAAGGGGGATTTTTCTTTTCTTAATGTAGTCAAGCAGGCAAAGAGCCAATTAATCCATTAGAAAAATCAAAGAGCTAGAAATCTATGCTTTGTCATTAATTCAGCCATATGAAGAACATTACTACTAGCATCTTTTTATAAAAAAACAAAAAACAAAAAAAAAACTAGACAGCAGGGGATAAATGGATAGCAAAACAGAGAGAAGAGAATGCCTCTGTGGTATCATCCTATGATTGAGACTTGCACTTCTGGCTCATGCTATATCCTTGGAAGTGAGCAAGTGTCACAGGTTTTGGCAGTGCACACAGTGATAACAGAAGACACCATGAAAAAGCCATTCCTGACCCTAGATTTTGATGGCTATCATTTAGGCAAAAAGAATACGCTGGGATTATCCAACCGTTTCCTTCACCCCCTTTAACAGTGAGCACATCATAAAAACCACTATGAAATGCTAGTGATAAATTTAAAATGCTATATTCCTATGGTTCTCTTGGAATGAGTCAGTCTAATGAGCCAATTTCAGCCATAGTTAGCTTAGAAGAAAAAGATGAATGAATGAAAGGGAAAACAGTATCACAGGCCAAACAAAGACCTACTTCCTTCCACAACACTTTTAATAAAAGTGCTTCCAATTTAAATTTCCTCTTGAATATTAATGAGTTTTCCTGAAGGATAATCTTTTATATAAGAACCTGTTTTGTTTTGTTTTAATAAAAATCTACTTGTGCATTTTTTTAAATTACAAAATCATTGCAAACTACCCAGCCAAGACTATTTCTTCTCCACGCTGGTATGGGACTCCTCCTGTAGGTAGTGGTTGTATAACTAGAAAAACAAAAATATTGCCAACAGGCACATACTGTGCAGAAAATATAAGTGCTACATTTATAGACAGGAGCAGCTTTGTAGAACATCTAAGATCGGCAGCCCAAATGAAGAACAACCGCCTGGTTCTTTACTTATAACCAAGGCCTTCAGAAACACAAACATCCAGGACCATGAAACCTCGGTACCTTGCGTTGCCAGCTGTCAAACTATAGATGGGAAGCCCCAAAGTAGCCAATTGTTTAAGGCCATACATGAGCTGTTTCAACATATGCATTCACATATACTTACCTTTCACTTAATTGCAGTTATTAAAAAATCTTACACATTTTAAAATAGGCTGAAGAAAGCAAACAAGTACTCAGTGTTATTACAGCTGGACGAGAAATGTATAACTAAGGCAAATCAATGTATACTGCACAGGGGATTGGTGCCATACACAGGTGTGCTTCCCTTGATGCCTGAATGTATTCTACAAAATTGGGAATATTCCATTTGTCTGGAGTAGGGGGGTAGGGATATTTTTAATCTGTTATGGAAATATAAAAATTAGAGAAAAGGGTGTATTACATTCTTCTTGTACATGAAAAGATTTTTTAGGTACATTCACTTATCTGAAGAATGTTTTTAGATCCCTAGAGATGATCTCACCATTCACAAACATCTTGAATCATAAATTCCAGTGCATGATTTTCCTAATAAAAGAACACTTGAAATTTTCATTCAATTTACATTTTAAAAGGAGAATGGGGTGAGGGGGTCCTGCCACTTGAGATATACTCATCTCAAACAAATCCTTGGTTCCAATGTGAACTTTCATGTTTATTTTGCAAATATTTGGAATAATTCAAATATAAAGCAATACAAGCTATAAATATTAAATGTAATTAAAACACCCAAGAAAATGAAATTTAAAAGCATGACCATTAAATTTATAAACTTCAAATCCTTCAGATGATTTATTGCAATATGAAAGTAAAGTCCAAGTTGCAAAATTTATTTGACAGATATGGCATATTATAGGCACTCCAATATCAAAGCAGTATGCTGTTCAAATACATTAATCTTCATCTTACCCCAGGTTTTACACATCCTTAAAAAAAAAAATTAACTACAACCAGAAGACAAATAATAAACTCCATGGCAGCATTTGTAATATTCCTTGATATAAATGTAATGTTCTTATAATCATTAAAAGATTTGGAAACTTCCAGGGACCTGAGACTGCATAATCTCCTATTAGACTTTCCGGGTGTCAGAGGTCTTAGGGACAGCAATTGTATGTGCCCCATTTGCTTATTATTTCTGATGGAATTAGAAAGGTTAGCCTTTTCAGAACCTTAGAATGCATCTCATGGTCTCACTTTTATTTGTTAACATTCAAAGTAATAAAACATACCACTTTTAAGTAACACTTAATATGTGATTTTCACTTTTATTTGTAATATTCAAAATAATAAAACATATCACTTCAAAATGGCACTTAAGGGCCGGGCGCTGTGGCTCACGCCTGTAATCCTAGCTCTTGGGAGGCCGAGGCGGGCGGATTGCTCAAGGTCAGGAGTTCAAAACCAGCCTGAGCAAGAGCGAGACCCCGTCTCTACTATAAATAGAAAGAAATTAATTGGCCAACTGATATATATATAAAAAATGAGCCGGGCATGGTGGCGCATGCCTGTAGTCCCAGCTACTCGGGAGGCTGAGACAGAAGGATCACTCGAGCCCAGGAGTTTGAGGTTGCTGTGAGCTAGGCTGACGCCATGGCACTCACTCTAGCCTGGACAACAAAGCGAGACTCTGTCTCAAAAAAAAAAAAAAAAATGGCACTTAATATGTGACAGGCATTATGTTTAATTCACTTAACACTCCTATCATTCCTATGAGGTAGGTTCTAACATTATCTTTATTTTACAGATCAAATAACCGAAACAAAAGGGTCAAATTACTCACTCAAAATTCACAACTAAGTGAGTGGCATATCTGAGATTCAAACCCAGGAAATCTGGCTCCAGAGTCTTAACCACATTTCTACATTAAACAGTCCCAACCTCCTTCCCTGGCTTCCTACCTCTTCCTCAAGATCAATACCTGAGAAGGCAAACATTCCTACCTAAATTCACACCATCTGCCATCCCTTTTAAAAGAGTACATTCACACATCCAAGTTGTTCCAAACATTCTTGAGATAAAAGGCAAAAGAAAAGAAATTCCCTTATACTTCAGGGAATATGACAATGGATACAAAACGTCAGAAGTTATAAACTCTAAAAAAATGAGAGAAGTAAGCCATTATCAATAAAGTTATATAACCATTTCTATTCAGATCCTCAAAAACATGACTATTGGGGTTCAACTCCAGACCACCACAGTAAAACTAATATCACAGGAAACACTGCAATAAAGCAAGCCACATATATTTTTGGGTTTCCCAGTGCATGTGAAAGTTATGTTTGCACTGTAGTCTATTAAATATGTAATGGCATTATGTCTAAAATAAAACCAACATACATGCCTTAATTTAAAAATATTTTATTGCTAAAAAATGCTAAGAATGGGCTGGGAACAGTGGCTCACACCTGTAATCCCAGCACTTTGGGAAATTGAGATGGGAGGACTGCTTGAGGCTAGGAGTTTGAGACCAGCTTGGGCAATACAGGGAGACCCTGTCTCTACAAAAATTTTCTTTAAAAAAATTAG